CCCCCCCCCCCCCCGCCATATCCATTCATACCTGTGTCTGTCAAAGATTTATCTAGTTCTTTCTTGAACAGATTCAGTGACACGGGTACCACTGCGGAAGTGAATGTCGCAGAATTTTATTTTGTATTCCATTTTATACAAGGATCAAAAATGTGGGATACTACTAATTAATTTTTAAAGTGAAAGTACTTGTGTTAATGTTTTAAGCAAAACTTAAATATTGTAAACATTAAGTACTTTTGCAAAATGAAAGATTCTATTGCGCTTGAGCAACTGAATACTTCAGGCCACAGTTGTACTGTATGTTCTGGGTTTCTGGGAATCACTGGCTTTAAGGTGATCAGATCTGTCTTGCTGTTTTAGGAAAGATAATACAGCAGAGGCTTTACCAGAAGGATTCTTTGATGATCCAGTAAAAGATGCAAAAGCAAGTACCACAGCATTTACATTATTTTGTTTGTCAAAGCTGGTGCGGATATTTTAATCACATGTTCTTGTCCATCAGTGAGATGATATTTTTTAAGGTTTCAGTCCGATAAACTGTAGAGGGCAGTGAAGAGCTAGCATCTGATACCTGACCATTTCAGTGTCCTCCTATTCTTTACTGTCATCATCTGATATTATAGGTGCGGAACGTAGACCCTCCAAAAGATCAAATGGACAAAGAGTGGGAGGAGTTTCAGAAAGAAATCAGACAGGTCAATACGGTGAGTCATTTTAAATGTTCCCAGCAGAGTGTGTTTTCTTATTGTCTGTGATGTGTCTCTCACCACAGTCATGCACAATAAGATTAGATGCTGATGAAGGAAAAATAATACAGTTTGGATTATTAGACCATGAAATCAGAAGGTGTAGGCCATTCAGCCAATTTTTTAGTCTGTTCTGTTACTGAGTGAGATCATGGCTGATCTGATAATCATCAACTGTATTTTCCTGTCTTTTCCCTATAACCTATAATTCCCTGACTGATTAAAAACCTGTCTATCTCAGCCTTGAGTATTAATGACCCACATCGTACAGCCTTCCACAATAAAGAACTCCGCAGATTCACTACTATCTGAGAGAAGACATTCTTCCTCATCTCTGTCTTAAGTGGACAGCCCCTTGTACTGAGATTTTTCTCCTCTGGTTCTAGACTCTCACACAAGAAGAAACAATCTTTCCACATTTACCCTGCCAAGTCCCCTAAGAATGTTGTAATGTTCCAATAAGGTTGCATCTCATTCTTTTAAATTCTATTTTGTACAGACACAACTTACTCAACCTGTCCTTGTAAGATGCTCGCCTTATTCCTGGGATATGTGTACTTCTCTGGACTGCCTCTAATGCCAGTACATCTTTCCTTATATAGTTTTAGCTAAGACTTCATATGCATATACTCCATTGCCTTTGAAATAAAGGCCAAAATTCAATTTACCTTTCTCCTTACATGCTGAACTTGTATGCTAGCTTTTTGTGATTTATGTATGAGGACTACCAAATATCTCTGTGCTATAGCTTTCTTCAGTCTTCCTCCATTTAAATAATATTCAGCTTATCTTGCTACCAAAGTAAGCAAGCTCACATTATCCTTCATGGTGAACTGAATTTTTAATGAATCGCTTAACCTGCCTATATCCCTCTGAAGACGCTTTGCATTATCTTTGCCACTTGCCTTCCCACTTATTTTTGTGTCATCCACAAACCCAGTTTTCCTCATTCAAGTAATTAATATATGCTATATATTAATAAATAATTGTGGCCTAGCAGTGATCCCTTTCGGAGCCCATTAGTTATAGGTTACTATCCTTAAAATATCCCTCTGCCCCATACCAACTCTATCTTTTAATAGTTATTCTATTCATGCTAATATACTACCTCCAATACTTGTGCTCTCATTAATTAGCTTCAAATAAAGTACCTTATTTAACACCTTCTGAAAATCCAAATATATTACATCCACTGTTTCCCCTTTATCTATTTTACTTGTTACCTCCGCAAAGAATTCTAACAATTCTTTTTGACGTGGTTTCCCTGTTGTGTCAGCAAGCTGACTCAGATCGTGCACTCCAGACCCCTACCACCCTCTGAGTGAAAAGGTTTTTTTCTCAAATCCCCTCTAAACCTCCTGCCATGCACTTTAAAATTATGCTCCCTTATTATTGATCTGCAACTAAGGGAATGGTTGCTTTCTATTCACTCTGTCCATGCCCTTCATAATCTTATGCACCTCAGTCAGGTACCCCTCACAACCCTCTCTGCTCCAAAGAAAACAATCCAATGTTATCCAGCCTCTCTTTGTAGCTGGAATGCTCCATTCTAGGCAACATCCTGGTGAATCTCCTTTGCACCTCCTCCAGTACAGTCGTATCCTCCCTTTAGTATGGTGACCAGAACTGCACATAGTATTCCAGCTGTGGCCTAACCAAAGTCTGTACAGCTCCCACTTGACTTCCATGCTGTCATAATCTATGCCATGACTGATAAAAGCAGGCATCCTGTATATCACCTTAATGACCCTATTAATCTGTTCTGCCACCTTCTGGGATCTGTGGACAACCATCCCAAGATCTCTCTGTTCCTCTGAATTTCCTAGTGTCTAACCATTCATTCCGTTCTCCCTTTATTTATTCCTTCTAGAAGCCAAAGTACAACTATTAACTCTGAGGAGCTGGGGTTCATTGAAGTCCCAGGAGCTAACTGAATTGTAGGGCTTAGGACTCTCATTTAAAACAAAACAATATTTATAGATCAGTGCAACTGGAGACTGGAATTGAGGAAAAAAACCAGGGACAGCGCTATTGCTGCAATATTCCTTTAATACTCTGGTGACCAAAGCTGTACTTGGTACTTTTATTGTGGTTAAATAAGACCGCAAGATGTAGGAGCAGAATTTAGATCATTCAGCCTATTGAGTCTGTTTCACCACTGTGAGATTATGGCTGATCTAATATTGAAGCAGCAATGTAACAAGTACCAGAGTTACTACATATTCTCATTTGGCTCAATATTGATATTGTTAATGCATCCCAAGATTTGATTTCCTTTGCTCACTGATATCAAGCATTACTTTGATAGTTTTCAGTTTATTGTCCGTTCCTTCTCATTTTGACCTCTTTGTTCAAATTAAAATGTAATAGGATCATTTGAAGTACATTTTCCTCGAGATTTTAAATACTTTGCATGCTGATTTTAAACTGCTATTTTGGTCAAAAGTAGTCTGTGCATCTTAACTCACAAATTTTTATATTCTGCCTTAAGGTTTCAGAAGCAATTGTAGCTGAAGATGATGAAGAAATTCGTTTTGACAGACAGATAGAAGAAATTGATGAACAAATGTAAATAAATTCCAATGCATTTTGCATTAGGAAGTATAAAATCATATTTTGATAAATGTTTGACTTGTAGAAAATTAGGTCACTTCTTGTGTCCCAGATGTCCAGAGGAGCAGGAAATGTCATCAAGTGAAAGCGCTCAAGCTTCAGGTTTTGGATTTGGAGCAGCAACTGGTGTCATTTGTAATATATACAAAAGACAGAGAAGCATGTGTGTAGCACATTTCAGCAAGTGTTCGCTCCATAGCTGAAGTGTGTCCAGCCGAATAGGGAGTCACCCCTGGGATACAAAGGGATCGGTATGGATGGTGCTTCTCGGGTGTTGTTGAAGCTGTACTCACCAAGGCAAGGGGAGAGTATTCTATTCCATTCCAGATTTGTCCCTTCTAGATGATGAACAGGCTTTGGGAGTCCAGAGGTGAGTCATTTACCACAGAACTCCCAGTGCTTGTTCCTGCCCCACTGAACTTATCTCCACTTATCTCGATTCCATTTTCTCCCCCCGGTCCAGGAGCTCCCCACCTACGTCCGTGACAACACCCACCAAAACCTCCGATTCCCTGGTCCTCAACACCTCATCTTCACCATGGACGTCCCGTCCCTATATGCTTGCATTCCCCATGCAGATGGCCTAAAAGCCCTCTGCTTCTTCCTCTCCCGCAGGCCCGACCAGTCCCCCTCCACCAACACCCTTATCCACTTAGCCGAACTCGTCCTTACCCTTAACAACTTCTCCTTCAACTCCTCCCACTTCCTACAGACAAAGGGGGTGGCCATGGGTACCCACATGGGCCCAAGCTATGCCTGCCCCTGTAGGATACGTGGAACAGTCCCTCTTCCACAGCTACACTTGCCCCATCCCCCACCTCTTCCTCCGTTATATCAATGACTGTATCGGCGTCGCCTCGTGCTCCCAGGAGGAGCTCGAACAGTTCATCCACTTTACTAACACATTCCACCCCAACCTTAAGTTCACCTGGACCATCTCCGATACCTCTCTCTCCTTCCTGGACCTCTCTGTTTCCATTTCTGGCAACCATCTGGAAACTGATATCTATTTCAAGCCTACCGACTCTCACAGCTACCTTGAATACACCTCCTCTCACCCACCTTCCTGCAAGAATGCCATCCCCTATTCCCAATTCCTTTGCCTCCGCTGCATCTGCTCCCGAGATGAGGCATTCCACTTCCGGACATCCCAGATGTCCTCATTTTTCAAGGACCGCAATTTCCGCTCCACAGTGGTTGAAAACGCCCTTGACCGCATCTCTCGCGTTTCCCGCAACTCATCCCTCACACCCGCTCCCTGCAATAACAACAAAGATAGAATCCCCCTCGTCCTCACGTATCACCCCGCCAACCTCCGGATTCAACGCATCATCCTCCGCCACTTCTGCTACCTGCAATCTGACCCCACTACCAAGGACATTTTTCCCTACCCACCCTTATCTGCCTTCCGGAGGGACCGCTCTCTCCGTGACTCCCGAATCCGCTCCACACTCCCCACTAGCCCCACCACCCCTGGCACTTTTCCCTGCAACCGCAGGAAGTGCTACACCAGCCCCTACACCTCCCCCCACCTCATCCCCCGTCCTAGGCCCCAAGAAAACCTTCCACGTTAAACAGATGTTCACCTGCACATCTGCTAATTTGGTATATTGTATCTGCTGTTCCAGATGTGGCCTCCTCCACATCGGGGAAACCAAGCGGAGGCTTGGAAACCGCTTTGTGGAATACCTACGCTCGGTTCGTGACAAACGATTGCACCTCCCAGTTGCGAACCATTTTAACTCCCCCTCCCACTCCTTGGACGACATGTCCATCCTCGGCCTCCTGCAGTGCCACATCAATGCCACCCGAAGGCTGGAGGATCAGCACCTCATATTTCGCTTGGGAACCCTGCAGCCCAATGGTCTCAATGTGGACTTCACAAGCTTCAAAATCTCCCCTCCCCCGACCTCACCCAAGACCAGCCCATCTCGTCCCTGTCTCCTTGACCTGTCTGTTTTTCCTCCCATCTATCCCTTCCTCCTACCTCACTGACCAACCCAACCCCCACTTACTACCTACTAGCCTCATCCCTGCCTCCTTGACCTGTCCGTCGCCCCTCCCTCCCAACTGACCAAACCCCATCCCAACTCCCTACCTAAACTCACCTTTACTGGCTCCATCCCCGCCTCCTTGACCTGTCTGTCTTCTCTCCACCTAATTGCTCCTTTATCCACCTTCCATCATCGCCTCCCCTCTCTCTCTATTTATTTCAGAGTCCCCTTCCCCTCCCCCATTTCTGAAGAAGTGTCCTGACTCGAAACATCAGCTTTCCTGCTCCTCTGATGCTGCCTGGCCTGCTATGTTCATCCAGCTCTTCACCTTGTTATCTCAGACTCCAGCATCGGCAGTTCCTGCTAACTCCCAGTGCTGACCTGTTCTTGTAACCATGGTTCTAAATGGCTGGTAGAGGCTAAGTTTCTGGACTTAGCTGCCCTACCCCACCAATCCCAGGATGTGTCATCAAATTATACAATGATTTCAGCTGGTTGGGAATTTAGTAATGGGTTTGCAGTTGAATTTTAAGGGGATGTTTTGGTAGGATCTCAACTTTCTAGAACCCAGAGGGTCTGTGGGTCAAAAGTGGCTGTAAGTGGCTACCTTGGGCCAGAGTATGGCAAAAAGCATATTGGAGAGACTGTTGAGGACATTACAATGACTCAAATTTGGATAATCGGCATCTCTAGTTGTGGCAAAACTATCAGCAGTTCCTGCCAGCAGGATAGGAAATCCGATGGAACGATGCCCACAATAACCCAAAGCTTCAGACTGGTAACTCCAGATTGGCCAACTCGTGCACACTAGTCCTATGACCACACCAACCAATCGGAGCAGATTTGGGCCAAACTTGAGGGTGAAATCACAGGCAAGCATGCGCTGGCAGTTGCAAAATGGATGTACCCAAGGCCCTGAGTGAGTACGTACCAAATGATATTTTTAACATGAACAAAGCTGTATATTACCTCATTGACTTTAATGCTTAAAAATGAAACGTGCAGTAGTGGAATGCAGAGGAAAGAACATATCACTGCATTGGTCTGTGTCAACATGGATCGTACCAAAAAGCTGCTTTGTGTAATTGGAAAGTCCAAGAAGACACATGTGTTCAGATGAACGTCAAACAATACTCACACAGTATGAGGCTAATAATACTGTCTGGATGAGCTCCAGCTTTTTTGACACATGGATCAGAAAAGTAGACAAAATATATCAAAGTGAGAAAAGGTAGATTATCACCCTGAAGAGTGATGAATGCCCACCCGTTCTCCAGCGTGTTTCCCCAGCTGAATCCTGCAAAGGGTGAAGAGTTTTCTGGAATTCTCTGCTGCAGCTAAAAACAGAAAACGCATTAACAACAAAAACAAAATTGCTGGAAAAACTCAGCAGGTCTGGCAGTATCTATGAAGGAAAGAACAGAGTTAACGTTTCGCGTCCGGTGACCCTTCCTCAGAACTCCCTTCCTCAGTTCTGAGAAAGGGTCACTGGACCCAAAACGTTAACTCTGTTCTTTCCTTCACAGATGCTGCCAGACCTGCTGAG